ATCCCCGAGAAGTGATAGCATGGCCTTTTCCGAGAGCTTTTGGGAGAGCATACCTTATCAGGATGGGGTCCTCCTTCTATTTCGAGAAGCATACTCACGACCCCTGCTATGCTATGCTATCTACTCAGACTTCTCCTACCCTCTCCGCGACCCATTATCCCTCTCGTGCGCGCCTTATAGACTTTCCACAGTTGGCCCGTATTTCCTGTGTTTTTCACGATTTTCTTTTCTTTTCCTCCACTCGGATTCCACCCCCCCCCCCATTCCTACTTTCATATTTGGATAGGATCACCACATCAGTTTAATCCTGATCCTTGCTAGGTTCTTGATGGTGCAGATTGTGTGATGTTGTCCGGAGAAACGGCGAAGGGAGACTACCCGCTAGAGACGGTGAAGACCATGCATTTCATATGCAAGGTGAGAGATCTACTTTTCTCTCAAACTTTTTTGTCTCTTTCTTTTTTTTTCATCATCTGATTCCTCGAAGCAGCATTCGCTCTCAACAGGATGCCGAAAATTCGACCTATCACTGCCAGTACCTCCGAGATGTTCTCGCAGAGACTATTCTACCAATGGACATGACTCGTACCACTGCTCTCACAGCAGTTGTGGCAGCGCTGAACTGTCACGCTGCCGCCATCGTTCTCGTAACGTCCAGTGGACGGCAAGTTAATTTTGTTGTAGTAAAATCTGCATCATGAAAAGAAGTACGTTTTCTTCAGTACTGCCATCGCCTGTTCCCGTTATAAAACGCCTTTCCCGATCCTCGCAGTGTGTCGTCAAGCAAACGTCTGCCGCCAGCTGAATCTGTGCAGGTTGGTGCCCACATAACAAGTTGTAGCGCTATCACAAAATGAGGGGGCATTCCCTAAGACCCCTAGGAAGGCTGAAGAACGTGGCGATTGAGGCCTGCGAAGAATGAATCCTATTACGTTCTCTTGAGATTTTAAAGGAGAAAGGAGGGAAGAAGCTCCCTCCCACTCTCTAAACTGGATACCACGCCTCGTTCGATACTGATACCGACAATTACGACCTCCTCTTCCACCGAGGCAAATACGACCCCCCGTCGAGGATTTCGTCGACCGATATTCACCCTGAAAAATGCGTACACATCAATAAGTCCTTTCTCCTCTGGGTAAGGCTTGGTACTGTTTGTAACAGAAAGGAGATGTTTTACGTGGTTTCTAAATGCATTGCGACTACAATGCCCCTGTATCTTGTGATAGCGCCTGTTGTTCTTGGCAAACTTCAAAAAACTCCCTAATTTTGAATACTTCAATCAAGCTCTCACTGCGCTTCGTTTCCATCACGTCTCAGAGTTGAAAAACATGAGATATCCCTACTTTCAGATCGGTTTTCCCAGTTTTCTACAGTAAGCCACGTGGGTCTGATTGCAATGCCGACAATGAAAGCAGAATTAACCACGGCATCGAGTTCGGAAAGGAAAAAGGCATGATCAACAAAGGAGATTTCGTTGTCGTCATCACGGGATGGAAATTCGGTTCGTATTTTGGCGCTTACCCTTTCTGCTTCCCCCCCGCTGAAGTTGGCTTGTTCAGGTTCTGGATTCAACAATACCGTGCGTGTCATCACTGCCTCGTAATTTTTTTGCTGCTTGCTGTTTCATATAATATCTTGTCACTTGCATGCTAATCGTATTAAATAAACGTTTAGCGGACAGAACCACACGGTTGGTGAATATATTTCTTGCCTATACACATATAGAACCATGTAATGTTTCACGCTCGAACGTACCAATGAACTACAAGGACCACGTTATTTCCCGCGGCCGATACCTGTCGTGATTGGCAGACTCGACATCAAAAAAAATGACGATGCTGCGAAAAAATATTCAGTGCTCTTGACATCTCGTTGATACCGGTATGTTCGAGGAGCCATGCACGCTAATTATTGGCTACGGCTGATCAATGCGTATATCCTACGACACTAAAATTTAGTCAAAGGTCCGCCAACCTGCGATACAGACCCGGCCGCGGCAACACAACAGCAAACCGTCCTGCAAGAAATCAGAAATGTTCCTAACATTTAATCAGTAAATTTTCAAATAACTATAAAGTGCTTCGTACTTTAATATTCGAGTAAACGCCATATCAACAGAAAAGGAAAATAACATGATGACTCAGAGTTAAAGAAAAGTAGTAGGTGGAGTGGTCCGATTAGGAATAGCTACTCTGGTTGTCTAATTTGTGAATTCATAAAATTATTGGCCGGTCTTTTTCGGCCGCTCCTTTTTTTCCGAAAAAAAGGTTGTTGTGCCTGCTTTTATTCTTTGTCATGAAAAATATCTTCTCTCTCTATGAATAAAATGCTTAATAACATCCAATTTACTTAAAATGCGCCCGCCTAAAATGCTCCTACCACTCACAAAGTCTCTGTCTAGCTTAAAAAAGCTGCAATAATGACCCTTTGGCTGAATGAGGAGGTAAGCAAACCAGCCCTTTTGGCGTTTCGGCTGGGACCGTATGCTGAATGTTGGGGAGGGGATGGGGTCCCCAACGGTCGACGGTTTACTTCAACTCGGTTGGTACGATAGGAGAGTACTGACGCAAGTGGTGCAGCTGGTCCAGCCAGAAGGGCTGGTTTGCTCACCCCAGGACTAAGCCTTGGAGAGGGGACGGACCCGTCCTCTCTTTAAGGCTTAGTTCTGAGGTAAGCACCAAATTGTGTCGGTTCCAAGGACCGAGTTGAAGTGGTCCGTCTACCGTCGGAGACTCCATCCCCTCCCCAACATTCAGCACACGGTCCCAGCCGAAGCGCCAAAAGGGCTGGTTTGCTACTCCTGATTGAGTGACTCGATCCCCATTGCGAGAATGGCGAGATCTGCGATTTCAGGACGTCGTCAGCTCTGAACACTGCTCTGGACTTCAAATTCAGCTCTGCATATAATACTGAAGATCACCTGCAGTTAAATCCCCTGGACTGTGGTTTGCACTTTTCGCATATTCCTCTTCACTGGGGGATAGGCCGTTGTCTATTCCTCGAGCACCACGCTGCTCAAAACAGATTTGCCGAGACTTCATTTCCGAACAAACATAGTATTCACGGAGAAGAAAACGCAGCTCTGAAATGTGACGTTACCTTCGTCCCTCCATAAGTCATTTCAGAGCTCGAATGTCCGCGAAACCTTGACTTACCTCTTCCAGCATCTACTCCTCTGCTGTGTGTGACCTTCGATACCAGTTTTTCTGAAAGAGAAGAGTGGGATCTTGGTTTGCCAAAGACAGCTGCTGATCTCACAAAAATTTGCTATACACGGGGGAAGACATTTTCCCTGTAGCACTTCGGCCTTTTTCTTCGCAGAGATTGCCGTCGTTGACGGAAGTTCCTCAGCAAAATATTCCCTAAATGTCCCTCTATAAGTAGACGCAGGCCCTCCTTCACTGCCCTCACCGTCTTCAGAATATGACGTCATCTGTCATCGTCGTCGAGCTCAAGGAGGCTACCGTAACTGCTTCAGGGGCCGTAACCCAATCTCCCACAGGGTGACTCGTCAAAACGATCTCTCAAGAAGATTTTGCTGATGCGGCGACGAGACTGATTATCAAATGTAGTAAATGGTGCCTAGGATTTTATTTTATCTAGTCTTATTTTTCTAGTTTCATGTTTGATTTAGCCAATTAGTTAGTCGTGCTGCATTGCTTCTGACGTGTGCCTTTCGCAGACGTGATAAACTAGATTTAAACTTATCAACACAGTTATTCTCCTCCCCGAATATGGTATCGGAAGGCTCTGAGAGCGTTGAGGGCAGGGCTGGCCTGGCCATGATTCCTTCTTTGACCTTTCTAGCCTATAGTATTCCAGTCATGTGGGCGACGCTTTTTGCCTATGCGTTAGATTAGGTACCTATCCATTGCTTCTGCAGGAAGGGGAAAAAGGGTGAATCTGAGCGTTTGCAAGCGCTGGCCTTAAATAGAAATGACCTTTGAATCCATGCTAGTCCAACGTGTAATCCAGCAGTCGCCCAATGACGAATTGCTAACAATGTCTACTAATCTTCAACTGGTTATCTATGCAATCAATTGCGAGCCCATCTTCTACTATCCAGTTCTTTCACCGCCCTCCGTAGAGTGTCGCTCCAGTCACGTTCCTAATAGACCAATAAGCTTCTTTACTCGTAATTCCTGCTGCGATGCTAGTCATGCTCACTCTTTTAGTTTTAGTTGTTCACGCCTTTAGTCGCTTTGTTCATTTACAGTGCCATTTTGTCTTTGCCTTTCTAACCACAAGAAGGTGCAATCATAGAAAAGATGGTCTGAATTATCGCGAGACATTTTAGGACTTATTTCCATAAGATTCTTGCTTGGCCCTTAGACTAC